CCCCCTCCGGTCCCACGGGAAAGAGGCGCCAGCAGGAAAAGGAGCCGCTGGGTTTATTGGGGGGGGAGGAGAAGGGGGATTTCGGGTCCCCCTCGGCCCTCTCGGGTCGGTTTTTTCCTGATTTTGGTCCTTTTTTCCCCAAATCCAACGGCAGGGGCGGGAGGAGGGGTGAAGGCACCTCGCGGGGTGGGGGGAGGGAAAGGGGGGCACGGACCCACCCCGAAGGCGCGTGGGGGGAGGGGGGAACCACCCCGACCCCTGGGTCCTCCCCACCCCCACCCCCAGGAGCTGCCAGGGGGGGTCGTGGCTCTCGGGGTCCGTCCACTCCCCCTCCCCAAAATCCCATTCCTGCACCAAATCTGCCCTTTTATCCCCCCCCCCCCCCCAAAAAGCCGCGGTGCCGAAAAAAAACACCTTTAAAAAAGCCAAAACGCCCCTAAAAGGTTCCCCCGCAATGTCCTCGGAGCCGGGGCACGGCGCCACAGCCCGGGAGGGGTCCCCAAAACGGGCACGGGGGGTGTCCCAGGAAGAGGCCGCCCCCTCCCCCTTATCAAGACCCCCCTCCCCCCCCATGGGGCACCTGCCCCCCCCGGTAGCCCCGCACGCCGGGGGGGGGCAGCGGCGGCGGCGGCGGCGGCGGCGGGGGGGGGTACACGGTGCGGATCCCCCCCTCCTCGGGGGCCCGCAGCGGCCTCAGCGCCAGCCTCCCCCCCCCGCCGCCTTTGGGGGGCTGCAAGGGCGGCCCCCCCATCATCATCCTCATCCTCCTCCTCCTCCTCCTCCTCCACCACCCCCCCAGCACCCCCAGCACCACCCCGGCCGCCGCCGCCGCCGCCGCCCCCAGAGCCGCGGCCGGGGGGAGCACGGGGGCAGCGGCGTCCCCGGGGGGGGCTCCGGGAGAACCGGCCTGGGGTGGGGGGGGGTCCCCGGCCCCCGCCCGGGCCTGGGCACAGAGCGGGGGAGCGGCGGGGGGCTCCAGGGCGGCCAGGCACACCCGGTACGGGGCCCGCGGCTGCAGAGCCCGCACCACGTACTCGCCGCGCTCGCCCCGCACCAAGGTCTCGGTCACGGCCCCCCCCCCGGGCCGCAGCCAGCTCAGCCTCAGCGACGCCCCGGGAGGAGCCGGTGGCCACCGAACCCTCAGAGCCCCTCCCGGCGCCGCCTGCACCCACAGCCCCGGCGTGGCGGCGGCTCCCGGCGACGACGCGGCCACCACGGCGGGGGACACGGCGGCCACGGCGGGGGACGTCCCCCCGCCCGCAGCCCCCCCCGAGGCCGGGCTCTCGCACGCGTCCATCTCGCCCCGCAGCTCGCCCACCGGCAACCCCCGCAGCCTGGCCGGGGCCTGGCACAGCAATCCCCGCACCTCGAGGCGCGGCGGGGCGCGGCGGCGCAGCCAGTCCCGCAGCCAGGCCAGGTTGCAGCCGCAGAACCAGGGGTTGTTCCGCAGCCCCAGGTGGCTCAGGCTGCCCAGATCGTCGAAGAGCCCCCTGGGCAGCGTGGTCAGGTTGTTGTCCGACAGGTCCAGCCGCTCCAGCGCCCTCATCCTGGCCAGCGCTCCGGCCGGCACGTGGCTGATGGCGTTGGCGGCCAGCGACAGGCGGCGGAGCCGAGCCCGGGGCAGGTTGGCCGGCGGCGCCGCCAGCGCGTTGCGGCCCAGCGAGAGCTCGCTGAGGTTGCCCAGGCGGCTGAAGGTGTCGTCGGCCATGCGCTGGTTCGCCAGCAGGTTCCCGTCCAGCACCAGGCGCCGCAGCGCCGGCAGCCCCTCGAAGGCGCGCAGCGGGATGGTGTGGATGCGGTTGTCGTCCAGGCGCAGCTCCTCCAGCGCCGGCGGCAGCCCCGCGGGGACGCTGCTCAGGTGGTTGCGGGAGAGGAAGAGGAGGCGCAGCCGGCGGTTCTCGGCGAACGCGTCCTCCTCGATGCCGGCCGCCGACACCGAGTTGTCGTCCAGGTGCAGCCGCTCGAGCAGCGGCGCCCGGGCCAGCGCCCGGCGGCAAAGGCCGCGCACGTTGTTCTCCTGCAGGTGCAGCTCCCGCAGCGCGGGCGGCAGGTGAGCCGGGAGCTGCTCCAGGGCGTTGGCGTACAGGTAGAGCACCCGCAGCGCCGGCAGCCGGCCCAGGCGAGCCGGGATCCCCGCGTCGCCGATGCGGTTGTTCTGCAGGAACAGCGTGGTGGCCCCGGGCGGGAGCCCCTCGGGCACGGCCGTGAGCCCGCGGTCGTTGCAGTAAACGCGGCCGCCGGAGCAGCGGCAAACGGCCGGGCAGGCCCCGACGGTGGCGACTGTCAGCAGGGCGATGGTGGCCACGGCGCTCAGCACGAGGGGCGGCCCCCCCCGCGGTGCCCGGG